TTTTTTTTTTTTTTTTTTTTTCCAATCTTAATTTAATGCCATAAAAAGAGGTAAAAAAGAGGTTTTTTCATATAGCCTGATCGCAGAGGCACAATCTTGATACTTTGACAGTGAGCGAATTGTCAAAAACTCTGAGAAGGAAGCAGAGAAGTATTTCAAGTAATAGATCAAACACACAAGACCGTGTTTGACCACATTTCCAAACAGCGAGAAGACAGTGAAAAATAAGACGCGTAGTGGAGAATTTTTGACGAAATTCGTGGTGTTTGGTAATGTGGTCAAACACAGTGTTGAGTGTTCGATACTAAAACCAAGGAGAAAACAGAGAAATGGAATCGTAAAAATCTATGCTAATTAAGATCTGATATCCATGCCAAACACCCGTCACAGTCATGACGAATTATTAATGAGCTTAAATCCTTTAGTTATTTATATACGTCATTTTCTGAGGCACAATTTGATTTCTTATCACATGGTCAAATTTTCACGGTCAGTTGATCTAAAACCGCGTTAAAAATGTTATCGCTTCTCTTGATAATTATGTTTCTAAACATAGCTTTAAAACTTTCTTTTTTTCTTGACTAGCATTGAATAGTATTTCCGACAAATGTATGCTTCATTGTAATTTTTGGATTAAAAATCGCGAGCAGCTCGTGCGCGCAAATCGCCCCGCAAGAAATTATTACTCAGGTGGATTTTAACAAGTGACGTCACAGAACTTAACATGGCTTCTTTTGTGGCCAGAACACAGATGTTCAAATAGCCACTAAGCTTGATAAAAACCGCTATAAATGATCTTTTAATCCCGCGATCCACTGGATAAACAAAGCCAGTTTAAATTGCAAAAAGAAGCTTTGGTTTCTCATTAAACTTTCAAGTACATCATTTATTCTTAGTAGCTCGATTCTTAAACTGAAAGTGTGTCTTTCAATTGGGTTTTTGGACTGCACTTTGATTTTCCCGATGTGATTGTTTCGCGAATTGTTGCATTCAGTTTTTTCTTCGTGAAAGGAAGGAAATTGCTTTCCTAAGCGTACACCTGTTTCTCTGGAGTACGTTCAAGTTGGCAGTGCGTGGGGAGCATACTTCGCACCTTTGACACACTGCGAGCAGCGGGTCACAGGCTATAAAAACCGCGGGATTGAATCAACGCCCAGACCCATTTGAGATCCATTGATAGTAAAGCAGACTTCTGGACACAAGGAAAGCTAATATCAAAAGAGTGAATCGTACACAGAAGAACCCTTGGTGGTCAGCTGGAACAAGCTTATCGCACAGACAAGCGGGAAAATAAGTATCTGAAGAAGTTATATCAAATTCGTTCGTACTATTCAGCGCTGACACAGCCTTTTACAAGATGTCAAAAAATAGAATAATTCTATGGACGGCTCCCCGTTGCGTCTCGACGGCGTTTGAGAGATCGATCATGACTCTCAAGAACTCGAAAATCTTTCACGAACCGTACTCAAAAGCGTACTACTTTGGCCCAGAGAAGCAAAGTCCAAGATACGCCTCACAAGAGACCAATCATCAAGCTACATACCGTTCCATTAGCAAAATGCTTCAAAAAGAGTACGATGGCAGAGATTTCTTGTTCTCAAAGGAGATGGCTTACTGCGTGGAAAACAAGATGCATATTTTCACTGAAGAGGGTTTTAAAAACTTTCAGCACTCCTTCCTGATCCGCCATCCTCTAAAAGCAGTTTACTCGCTCTTCAAGGCCTCCACGAATCCGAAGCTTACGGGATGGGATTACTTCGATCCCGCGGAAGCGGGATTTCGCCAGATGTTGGAATTGTACGAGTTCGTCGACAGAAATATCCACAGAAATCCCGTTGTCGTCGATGCAGACGATCTTCTGGATTATCCAAACGAAATCCTGCAGAGTTACTGTGAAGCAGTGGGTCTGGAGTATGAAGAGAACATGACTTCGTGGGAGCCGGGTCCTGTACCGGAGTGGGACACCTGGGCTGGGTGGCACGAGGATGCCCTGAAGAGTTCAGGATTCAAACCAAGAGTGAAGAAGAACAGGTCCCGAGCCTGCACGGCGTTTGACGTGGAAGATCTGCCGCCTGAAGTAGCAGCTGTTGTAGAAGAGTGTATGCCACACTACGAGGCGCTGGCCGCGAAAAAGACCTTGCCAAAAAACATTGAACTATGCTAAGTAAGTTTAAGAGGTATAGTCCTGATATACTATAAAAATAACCACTATTTATGTCACGTAGAAGATTGAATTTATAGGGTATTTATTTTTATATTTAAAATACACTCTGATATATTATAGATCTGTTCCGTTTTTTATTAGTTTTTTTATATTTACCAAAAGGACTTAGGGCTCAGGTTAGCCCAGGTTGAGTCACACTTTATTCAATATTTGAAACGGGTTAGAGAAAGTTTACTTTCAGAACTTTACGATGATGTATTTTAGATTTCACTTTGTAATCTCAAAACCACTCTGTGAAGACTGTAAACGCTAACAACTGGCGGCCAAAGGATTAGTAACAGTATCGGATAAATTCTGATCGTAAATTTGCTTATGGTGCCTGTCGGCAGTTCTCGTAAAAATGCAAACTCTATACAATTTTCTGTTTAGATAATGTAGCTATCCTGCTTGAATTTTTTATCAGTAAAATAATATTCAGAATATAGAGGACAGTGAGTCGTACTCAGATCGCACTGTGTTTGACGCTGTAAAGTGGGAGATCTGGGTTCGGAATTAGCACAAAACTCTTACAGTTCAATCCCTGGTGGATTGAGTTAATCAACATAAACGTATAAGTTATAATAAATTTACATAACACCACAAATTTTGGGACATGTTTTTTTCAAACTCATTAATATGTCATCAAGTTCAAACAATGCAAATCAAGACCGTCACGGTGTTTGGATATCTTATCTTAATTAGCATAGATTTTTACTATCTTTTTTCTCCATTTTCTCCTTGAATTTTAGTTTCGATTGAGAAGATATACCAAAAAGAAATACCGTGTTTGACCAAAATTCCAAACACCTCGAGGTTCTTCATAAATTAAATATTCCGCTGCGCGTCGTGTTTGGAAAGTGGTCAAACGCGGTATTTCGTGTTTGATATATTACCACATATTACGTCAAGGAGTCAAAAATAAGTGACTGCATCTCGTATGACTAGAAAAGTTAAGTTCTAAAGAGCAGAACTAGTGGAAACACGCCTTGCAACTAACCCATAAAAGGGAAATCCCTGATATACTCATTAAAAATTAATTTGTTTGGTCCGAGCAATAATTCATCAGTCATTTTCTTATCTGAAAACCTTGTAACTGTGATCAACGATCGCCTTTTGGTGTCCTGAATTTTATTTCTTTTATAAAATGATAAATTTAAGCGAGAAAAGAGCGAAGAAAATATTGAACAATCGTGTTAACGCGTCAGCTGGTATTGATGAACAACGAAAGACAAACACAATAAAATAAAATCTCTCATGGCCAGTTGATATTTGTAGGGAGGTGTTGGGGAAACGTTCAAATTAATGTGTTCTTAAACTTCAAACATACTCTACTGTTTCATCGGTCAATTTTCTAGCTCCGCCTAGAATCATTTCACTATACCACATTAGGCACATACTCGCCGGGACCAATACTGCCTTGCATTCTGCGCGCACCGCATCGCTAGCCGATATGTCGCTTTCCCAAACCAAAAATTTTGTTATGTCGCTTAAAAGTCGCTCTACTTTGCTTTCAAAAATGGTGGCATACCAATCGCGCAACGTAAGTGCCATGTGATTTTCGGCCTGGTTGCCATCTTGGATGCAGCGCCTCGGCTGCACCTCAATGCAATTCGATATGGCGGGAAACGCACGAGCGCAGCACGGGATACTTGATACGGGATACTATTTCCCGCGCAACGTGGCAATGGTGGTCACCTTGAGCCTGGTTTTCACAACAACGGTAAGCACAAGCATAAGGATAACAGTAGTGAGGACACCCACAACACAATCATAAGCACAAGCAGAACAAAGTATTGATTCTTCTTGTGCTTTTACATATGTCAAGTGGGAACGCGCTGCTGTAAGCATAAACATGAGTCAGTCTGCCATCTTTTTTACTGTTTTGAGGAGGTTGGAGGCTAAAATAAGGCAACTATCCATTCTGCGCATGCCTTTATACTTATGATTGTGTTGTATGCATCCTCGCTACCGTAACGCTTACGTTCGTGCTTGTGCTTATGTCGTTGTGACAAAGAGGCTAACAAGAGGCGGCTGATGACGTAAGGTAGCTAAGCCAAAAACGCCATAAAAATACGAGAAATCATGTGTCTTTATTATTTCTTACAACCTGAACAAATTAAATCTTTTTATCCTAAGTTTTACTTAGTCTTATTTATGTATTATTAACATCCGGGAATGACGGTCAAAATGATCAAATGACCGCATGACAGCGAGGCCACAATCGACCTCACAGAAAAGCCCAGCTGAGAATGTCAACATTAGACTGACGGGACTGTAACCTTGGACAATGAGTTCTGGATACTTAACAAGTTGAACATGTCATTCAATGCTGTAAAAGAGCAGTGGCATTAGTTCACGAGTTACTAATCATCGATTTATTCATGTCCCCAACCTCACTGTCCAAGACTTGTAAATGAGATACCTCGTACTTAGGCCAGGCAGTTCACCAAACCATACATAATCATGACCATCAAACCCAACCTGAAACGTTTAATCTTAAATACTTAGTCATACAGTTAATATTTATCTCATTTTTTTATTCTTAAAATTATAGAAACAAGAAGTACGAGCTATTTCATTTAGCCCCACAATCACTGCATGTAAGTCTCCCTCAATTATCTCAGAACTGGTGCTTCAATCAGTTCTTGCTGAAATCCATAACTTTTTTTTCTATAATATTGTATTGGCTCTTTCAACTAACATTTGAGTCTTCAGCCTCGTTTCCAAGGTCTACCTTCTCCCTGGGAACGAGGCTGAAAGTTTGTACGTTTGACGTCTCTGGCATCTACTATTATTTTCTGCAAACAAGTCACTAGAGGAAACAAGAAACCTTTTTTGAACTTCAAGGAATGACTGAGCCCGCGGGTTTGACGGTCACAAGTGTTGCTGAGTAGCATGACGTCAGTTCCTGTGCGTGTTTCTGATTGGTTTATGTAAAAACACGGAAAATCTTCGGTTTTTACCATAATTTACACAAACAACTCCTGTTTTTCAACAGCTAAGCAGCCAATATGTTGGCTTTCTGTCATAATTATCCTTAAAAAGGTCTTAAAATTGAGGGAGACCTCGCACGGCGCTGGTTTCTTCGCACATCCTCTTTTTATCTCTCTTCTAGGCCCTGGCAATTAAACCACAGGCTCTGACACAAGAACTTTACAAGTTCACCAACTAATATTTCTCGCGCTAAGGATAAGTTTAATAATGGTTAAAACTCTTTTAGACCATGTCTCTTCTTTTAAACATAAACGTATATTCCTAACGGCCACCATATTGGATAGAACTCCTACTAGATGCAATATCTACACCATATTTTTTTCCGCAAGGGCACGTTATAGACTCACATATATGGGAAACTCATATCTAATCTAAGTTATCTCAAGATGAAGAACCAGAAAATCATATCTAATCTAAGTTCTCTGGAGTTGAAGAACCAGGCTCCTTAACCCTGGGTTCCGGACGTTTCAATTCCACCGCGCTGTCTGGTTCTCGTCCAAGGGCCCTGGGCCGACCAGTTCTCGAAAGTGCGCGGGGAAAGCGGACATTTATCATCCAACAGGGTGTTGGACTTGATAAAACTGTGTCACGATTCTCTAAATACCAAACGGTTTCAAACTATATATAAATTACTTCGCAAACGATAATATTATTTGTTACAACTCTTTTAAAAGGCTGGCAACATAACCTTGTCAGTCCTTTGGTTTCTTAAAATTTAAATTTGACAACTTTTAAACATTTTGAGGTGAGTAGAAATGATTTCCAAAACCGTCTCCGGCAAAACGCGTCAACTCTACAAAAGGTCTATTTTGCGTTCATCACACAGACTGCTTACTATTCGACCAAAATATTCTTGAAACGGGGTCAACTGGATCACAAATTGTAAGAAATTTTTGAACATTTGAGTATACCTCGGGCACTTTCCATTCGACCGACAATGCCGGTTTGAATTTCCGGAAATTTTTCTTGCGTCGAATGGAACAGAATATAGGACAATCTTGCAATATATACCCACATTGTTTAAAATTTCTTACCAGGAATTCGCCTTCCATTTGAATTTCCTCCCCGAATTTCCGAAATTTTCGGTTGAATAGTTCGCTTTAGGGACATTCGACAATTTCCGGATTTTCTGGAAACTTTTCCAGGAAATTTCCGTACCAGTTGTCCCCGTTTCGAAATTTTCGGAATTTTGTTTGAATGGAAAGCGTCCACAGTCTTTAATCCAATCACAAACGACGTTAGTGTTAGTCTATGAAACGGGAAAACAAAGCCACCAAATGCACGTGCGATTTAATCACGTGCTATGACATCCACATGCACTGCTAGCACTTTAATCGACTGAGACCTTACAGGAATTTCAAAAGTTGTCAAATCTTAATATCAATAAGGGCAGAAAGTCACTGTAAAAATATTTTTTCAACGTCTTGTTTTAAACGACACGTAATCGTTGTTTATCTTTAGAAGATACCTCTTCCTCTCAACACAATGATTTAAAAAGACAACAAATCAACACAAAAGACAAATTAGTCAATTTCAGAGCCGTGCACTGCCGATTACTATCGACGTTTTCCGAACGCGCCCGAATATATAGTTTCTACCAAAACTCGAGAGCATTCGGATATCTTGTCGATATTTAAAACATCTTCTATCAACAGAATAATAAACAGATAAGACTAGCAGGCAGCGACGGTTTTATAGTTCTAACTGGCTCCATGGATAGCTTCCAGTAATCACTGATAAATCAAAAGAAATTCAACTTCACTACGAAGGCGCACTATAAAGAAGATACAACTCAGTCTTTCCAACCTGAACACCTTCTCACTTACATATAACTCTTACGTTTGCTTCTGTGAAATTCTTGTTCTACTACCAAAATACCCATCAACTCCCCTGAAAATCAAAAAACCTCTTTTGCAGTTCTCACGCAACAAACCTTATTCACTAACACATGCATTATCAGCTGAAGTGTTTCCCTTACTCGTGAGTTTGAAATTCTTGGATTTCTTCATAGGGCAAGCCTGCGCTACGATACTTCTACGATACTTCTGATTTGAAAGTCAATCTTACTTCTTATCAACGAAATTAAATGCGTGGCTATTATAGTTCTACACACTGTCTAATTTCCGCTCGGATTTTATCACGAAATTATGTCTTTTTTTCTTTCCCTTCTCACGGACACACGGTACCATAGACCCGTGGGTTAACATATCTCATCATTTGGGGTGATTTTTTGGTCCTTCTATAGTTTCCTTCGATAAGCCCTCTTTTATAGTGCGCCTTCTAATTTCTGTTATTGAATACAAACCTTAACATATCCTCGAGATGATTTCAATTATGAGCTTTATCACGTTTTCAGATAAGCTTGTTTAATATCTCAACATTGTCTGTTGTCGTCAAGATTGCGAGAATCACATGTGGTTCAATCTACTCAGTCTTCAATCACAACACTGTTGCGTGACTTAAAGTCACGCCCTGTCACCTTGACATCATTCCATAAGCTCGGCCACCAAAGGCGGCATATCCAACTTGCCAAAGAACTCTAGCGTGACATAATTTTCCATTGCTTTCTCGCTGTACAAGCGTAGGGTTGGAAGGCAGAGAAGCAGCTTGCCAAGGCGATTGACCTTCTGTGGGTAACGCGAAGCGGAATAGTCACGCAAGTGGCTGTTGACCTTCGATTGCAGCTGAGTAACCTTTTCTTTGTCTTTTAGGTCGGGCGTATCTGAGGAAAGACGATTGATTCAAATGATTGCTCTGACCATATGAGACAGTTTAGCAATGATTGTTGTAACGACACTATTCGCCTTAGCGAGGGGGGGGGGGGAGGGGGCTAAGCGGGGAGAGGAGGAGGATGAGGAGGAGGAGGAGGACATGCCCCAATGGCGGTCCCCGCCAGAAAAAAATCACTTTGCAGTATTCACAGGGTTGCATGTTATACCTGCGCAATGCTGCTTACTTCGATGCAACAGTCTCAACCGCTTTCGGAAAGAGTCTCTGGTACCATTTTGGGGTTCCTCTTTTGGGGATTCCAGCCCTGACCAGAGTTATTTTATTGCATATTCTCGAACAAGACCTTCACTGTCATTGCCTCTCTACACCACGAAGTATAAATAAGTAGCTGCAAATTGTTCAGGTAACCTTGCAGACTGCTGGGGAGTACCCTGCGATGGACTAGCATGCGATCCAGGTGGAAAATAAAACCTGGTTTTCACTAGCGACGCCAGCACGAGCGCAAACACCTTTATCCTTATTTCACCGTGAAAACGGCCTTGACGCAGGCATAAGCACAAGCGCAAGGATCAAAATTTTTCCTTTTTCCTGCGCTTGCGCTTATGCTTCTGTTTGCGCTACAACAAGTGAAAACGAAATACCGCTCAGGCATAACACAAGCACAAGGATATTTACCACACGTGGCTATGTTTGGCCAATGAAAATACTGGATCCAGATTACCTCGCGCCTGAACAGTTTTCTAAAATGCCGGAAGGTTCGAATGATTTTGCTTGTGATTGTGTTTGCGTCGAATTTCGTTTTCACTTGGGTCATCGTTATTGCTTGCGTTTGTGCTTGCGCTTGTGCTTGTGTCGGCTTAAAACTCTCCTGAAAGCCCGAGTCAAACGTCAGTCTAGTACGCCAGTAACAGTTTGACATACTTATTTTTAAAAATGACCAATGAGAATGTCCATCGCTGTCAAAAGGGCACTCTCCCCCACCCACTTCCCACGCACACCCCGAGGGGGTGAGGGTGTGAGGTGGCAACGGATCTCGTACACAGATCTCCAGCGGCCCCTCAAACTTTGTTCCCGTTCCGCGTAGAGTGGGACTTGAGTGCGAGGTTACGTTATCACAGGACTTTGACTGCAAAGTCAACGTACAGTGAGAAAAATGGGCACAAACCTGGAGAGAGAAGAACAAGCGCATTCAAACAGGCAAACTCGTTGACATCCATATTCAAACTGCGCAGCTTATCAGTAAACTCCAACGTGGTGTCGACCAAGTCCTCGCCCCAACCAAACGCCGTAACTTCGTGCTTTTCACAGAAAAATTCCTTGCCAAACCTTAGCGACATGGGATCGCACGGCACCGATCTGTACGCCAGGCGAAACACATTAAGATCCATAAAGGACGCTTTGAGCAGGCAAACCTGGTCTTCCAGATCGATCTCCTTGAATCCAGGCACATCCTTCGCCCATTGAATGATCATGTACAGCTCTTGATAAGCTAACTCCATCATCTTGTTGACGTCTTTTTCTTTGGTAGTTTCATCTTCATAAGTCTGTCCTGGGATATGAGGGATCTGAGTAACTTGCTCTCCGATCTTTTCTATAAACGACATGAAATCCTCCTGTGGAGTCTCGGGCTCTGCCGGTTTCGGTTTCGCCGCAGCGCTTTCAACACTAGGATCAAGTCCGTCTGTTGTCCCGTTCGTGGCGTCGTCTCGAGCCCGTTGCTTTTTAGGACGATGATCCTGCAGGGAGCGATGACGATGTCGTCCTCCGGGGGTGCGATCCTCCCTCACAGCTTTGGGATAATGAAACCAGAAGGTCAAGTTTAATGGAGAATTGATCGGTGCGGGGTAGGGGGGGGGGNTGTAATAACGATGGGGTAATGCAGTGCAAAAACAGAGAATTAACAGGGGTGAAAGGGGTGGGGGATTAATGAATACTAGGAACGCTACTATGCCTTCACCCCCGCTGCCGCGATTTTCACTCGCAGCTCTGATGGTATAATGAATTGGAAAGATGCTAAATACATGACAAATAGGAAATTAAAAGTGGTGGAAAAATGGTTTGACATAACGCAAGGGGGCGGGGGGGGGGGGCGTCATGATACCCAAAGGTCAGGGTAAATAGACACTGGGTAGGGGTGCGGTGAATGGATACAGCCAGCGATACCGATATCATACGTGTTTTCTTAGTGTGAAATTAACCCGTGTTTGGGTCAGTAGCGGAGCAGGAACGAGAACTGAGCACTGAAAACTTAGAAGCGCCATTGCCCAACCGTATCTCACTCATTTCTATGATCTTTGTTTTAAAAAACCTCAAGGTGGGTGTTTGGTGACTTTAAAGAAGGGAAACGCAATCCCTTGACCTCCTCACGTGTGATCCAAAGAAGGCAGCTAGTGAATTTAGGAACAACATCCTTTGTGTCAACAGGCAAATAACGCCTTGAGGCGTAATTTCGTCCATGAAAGAAAACGGCATTCCTCAGCCTTCAGGACTAAGCAACTTTCACGAAACATTCATGTCTTCGGCATGTAACGGTCCTGTCGTTTTGTGAGAGTCGAGATTTCGCAAAATAATTTCACTGCACTGAACAATAATAATTCATTCTACTTATTAGGTCAAATTATCCGACGCCAACTCTAAATAAAAATTCGCTCTTTAAACGATAGCATCGTCCGTCCCTAAAAGTAATTCAAAATACCCAGCTCTGTGCCTGATGTTTCCAAGGATTTGTATCTACATGAACGCATCGCATTATGGGAAAGTCATCCTCTGGAATGGCGCTTCCGGCTGATAATTTTCACGTGCTTGTGGTACGAAACATGGACAAGCGTTGCTACGCAACCGACCATAATGGCAACACTTTTCACAACCGACAGCTGCCATGAAAGCATCAGATAACAAGAATTCTTTCTGACAAGTTTTTCTAAAGACACGTCACGACTACAGAAGCTGGTGGCGAATCTTACACCTTTGTGAATCGTGAAATTCTTAATCTTTCGACTTTATCGTTCGCAATCCATCTGAAAGTTCCAAACTCTTAACCATCCCTGTGCCCTTGTTTTGGTTTATACGGACCTCTCTACTGCTTTTCCAGAACTGTCTGTTGTGAGGTCTATATCAATTGTAAGATAATTCACTGCGTATCGCAAATTATCAATTAAATCCTGACACGGTAATCTTTTAGCGTGAAGAGTTGCAGGCAACATTTCAAACAACTGAAACACGAGAGTAAATTCAAGATTTGAGGAGTTCTCCATATTACGCCTTCATTCTTATTTTTAACTTCCGCGTTAGCTATTACGGAGAAACAAATTAAAATAAATTTACATTCATTTCGATTCGTTTTCTTAAACACAGTGCCATTGAAGCAACGTTCAGCGCTCAGAACTCGACGTTTCAGGTTGTAGTGCACCCTAGAGAATACAAACAGACAATTATAAGGACATTATACGCCGAAATATACCAGCTCGGGTCTACACCACGAAAAAAGCAAACCCCAAAAAGGTTCTTTTTTGCGTGAGTTTGGTACACAGAAAAGCCCTCCCTCAGCGTTTCGCGTCACCCGCTCACTTCCTGCTCATTTTCTTTTTTTTTTTGGAAGCAAAAGAGGAACTGAGTTTTTTAAGTGTTAGTCTAACGAAAAAGATGCCCACCTTCTTTGAGCATTCCTTTTGCTACACACTTTTGGAAACGGCAGTATTGACAGCGGTTCCTGTTGATCTGATTGACTTCGCAGTTACCGTCTCCCTTACAAGTATACTCTAACTGCTTCTGTACCGTGCGCTTGAAGAACCCCTTACAACCCTCGCATGTGAACACGCCGTAGTGGTAGCCAGTTGCTTTGTCGCTGCACACAACACATTCGGTAGTCGCAGAGGTGCTTGTCGCCGAGGTCGATCCATCGCCTTCCTCACTGTCCACGGATACACGAGGTTTTGAAGTATCTGTTGTCCCGGAGGACACAGAACTGCTCGAAGAATTTCGCTTGAATTCGCACGAAGAGAAATCATCTTTACCACGTTCGTCTGGTTCACGTTTCGATAAACTGAAATCCATAAACACATCGGCCAAGTCGTTCGAACTTGGGTCCAACAAGCCAGCTTGGCCCTCCATGAATCTGGAAATAAAAAAAATGATCTCTTTTCAGCTTGCGTGAGAATATTCATGGCAGTATCGCTGATGTATGTAAACTTTATGCAGCCGTCAATACAGCATACTAAGAAAAGACACATCCTTCTTAACACAGGCGACAGAAAGCGAGCAATATCCTAGGTATAGATTTCTCAAAATTAAAAATTACATCCGGCGTCCATACGACGGAAAGCGCACAAGAACGAAACAAAATTATAGGCTTAAGTAAGCGAGATAGATAAAGCCATGGCAAAGACTGACGCGGCTACACAATATCGATTTGGAAGTTGCTGGAGACAAAACAAACATCGCAACAAAAACAAATATTTCAAACTAGAACACGCTATGAGTAACTTTCGGGTACATTTTAAAGTAAACGAATATTTTACGCGTTCCAAGCACCTCTAACATGAAGCTAATTTCTTGAAAAGCACAGGCACTTGATAGACCTTACTATGAATTTAATTAGCAAATACTTTGGCACCTGCAGAATCTCTACACACACGGAAAAATTCTGAAATTTCTACTGAACACAATATTTCGTGTAAACTTAAGGGCACAGAGTTTCGCCGTCTTCTACAAACTAAACGAAACCGAAAAATCGAATGAAAACAAGAAAATAATGAAGTGTCTTTGATGACTTGCTGGGAAAAAGAGCATTTATCTAAACAAAAAGTTTAAGAGCAATGCTACGAGAACAGGTTTTAAAGGCTACTAAATTAACAGTTCCAGTAATGTCTCCTTTGTAAAATAACTACAATCTTAAAGCGCTAAAAGATTACCGCCTCGCAGCTCAGCGTTAGTCGCTGTCACCACCATCGGCTTCCCATGACTTCCTAACCTGATTCTGAGCAATTTGCATTTGAGGTTTCTGGCAGTTGTAAACAACCTCGTTCTCAAGATCTTCTCTTTCCCTTGAGAACGAGGCTGACGGTTTTTGACCCAACGTGCAGTGTACCGCTTGTGACGTCACGCCCCTGCCAGGTAGTAAAGTCACCACAAAAAAAATTATCGCCTTTGGGAGACCAAGGCAAGGCAATGAGTGGCAGAGTGCAGGAAGGGGGGAGGGAGGTCTTGATGCTCAACAGTATCAACAAAACGAAGGTGTATAGGGTTTACAGGGTAGGATGGCAATTACAGAATTACATTGTATGTTGGGAGAAGATGAAAATGTTTTCCCTGGAATTTTTTTGTATTTGTGTGGGTGTGTGTCTTTCAGGGGGAGGGGGAAAGAAGTCAATAAAGAAGTGGCGGTTTACTTATTAAAATAGAGTGTTAAACCACTGCCCCATTTACACCTCCCTGCCTCCTTTTTCCTTGAGCTCCCTCCCTTCCCTCCACCTGGACTAAGAACATGCAAATTTGAAGATGTTCATCACACAGTTTAACATTGTTTAACATTCATCTGACTACAAATACACACAGTACAAGGCAACGAAGAGTAAAAGGTAAACTACATGTACATGTAGTCTGTGTACAAGCCAAGAGGCCAATCTGGCCAGTGCTTATCTCCAGTTTCTGTAGCATGACGAGACTCAGATTGTTTCTACTCCCCCCCCCTCTGGATGGGATGCTAGTGCATCGTAGGGTTATCCCCAGCATTAAAGTCACCAGTACCCATTCATACACCTGGGTGAAGGGAGGCACTGTGAGACTTGCCCAAGAACACAACACAATGCCTCCGGCCAGGGCATGAACCTGGACCACTCCATCTGGAATTGAGTGCAATAACCATGAAGCCACTGTGCCAGCAAAGAGCAACCATCTTAATTTTGTAAACTTAATGTTATGTACATCATGTTGGAAGCAGGTCAAACTGCACTTGCTTTTTGTTTTGGCAGGAAAATATTGCTGTCCAATTGAAACACATCTAGGAAATAAGCATGATAAGACGCAATTTGTGGCAAAATTAAAAAAAAAAAATTATACGTAAGGTTCAGAGCGACCTTAAATTTTCAAAACTTCAAGGTGGCCCTGAACCCTATTTGCAGATTTTTTTAAAAAACTTTGCCAAAAGTTGCGTCTTATCATGCTATTTAAAATTTGATAAATATAAAAAAATTTCAATGTGCCATTTTTGAATTATAAGCCTGTTTTTAGCAGGTTATACTGTTGCTATGGTAACCTATTGTGTCATGAAAATGATAACAACATGTTCACCAATGATTGGCAGTTTTTTGATACCATGATTGTCACATCAAGTGATAAAGAGTGGTTATAATATCTCATCTAAATCTAACTGTCGGAAACTGTTTTGAGTCACCTTAAGTTTCATTAAATTGCATTAACAGGTCTCTTGAATCACTTGTCTATTGTGCTATGTAACTCTTTGCTTCAAGTATGTCCACCACATTTATTCACCTAATCAGGACAATGTGCACCGGTGACAAGGTGGTCAATATCTGTACATGTATGCATTTTGAATAATAAGTTTCTTAGGCACAGTTTTAAAATTTACTTGGTATAACGGTGCTATGATTCAGAATTTTTCTTTCGCGTACTGAGACATAAGCTTGAAGTATTTATCCATGGTCACAGAGCAAATGAAATATATCCAGCTTGCATCAAATTACATCAGTTCTGCAACAACAAGTTAATTATTATTCAGACAAACCACAATGTCTGAGAGACTGATATTAACATTTGTTTATAAGATGTATACTGCTACAGGTACCATTTTGTTTCAAGGTGACAAGCAACAACATTGAAATCTGGTTAATTTGAAACATTTGTAAGTTGGTAACCCATTGCAAATGTACTGAACACTTGCTATGCAAAAGTGTTATCATTTGTATATTCACCAAGTCTACAATTTATTTCATACATACATTTTCATGATGTGATATCAACTGTTGAAAATTGATTTGGAAAGTTCACACACCAAAATAAAGATATGAAACAGTTCATACACACAATTATGCAATAATTACAAAGATCACGTCAGGGACAATATCTGAACTTTACACTCTCACGCATATATATATTACCGTTAAATAAATTCAATATTGCATTTTGAAATGATGGATAATTGTGATTTGTCAAAAAATAGAAATCTGCTTTCTAAAATGCTGTATTGAAGAATCACTTCTGTTAGCACGGATAACTCAAAATTAGGAATAAACCAGACATTTTCCGAGGGCAATATTACCTGAAAAATTGTAATTTTTCTGGAATGATTCCTTGTACTGTTAAATGTGTCAAAACAACCATTTCAATTACAGAAGAAATATTGAGGTCAGAGTTTGTTTTAGTTGACTAGAAGCAAAAAAAAAAAGCACAAATAAAAATGCAGCGGCATTCGTTGTATGTATACTCTGTGTAGACGTCTGAGATACACAGTAGTCTAGTTCTAGCTACACATATTTTCACCTTGTACTTGAAAGACAGAGAAAAGAATAGAAACTAAGTAAGTAAGTGTTCTTACCAGAGATTGAAAAATAGGACAGTGCCTTCCTTGGCTTTCAGTATTTCCCTAAAATCCCTTTATATCTGGCCTTATAATGTTCAGTTTCTCTCTCTTAGACCAAGGGAGTTGATACATGTAGGTCTGAAAGGGGCTGTCTGTAATATATTATTTATCCTTCTTCCGACTATCCTAAACATACTGGGAATTTATAAAACCTGTGGTTGAAAAGCTCTTTAATACCCCACTGTGCTTATCCGCTTCGATGGGATTGAAAATTATTCCATAACAAAGGGAGCGTGAAATGTCATTGGCCACATCAAACTGCTTAAAAGGAAAGAGATTTGTTTTGATTTAACCTTTAGAACAAACGCTCAGCAGGAAGCAAGCTCCTCAATTCAAAACAAAAAAGAACTCAAGACAGCAGGGAAGTCAGGGACATGTGGTACATTCAAGAAAATGTTTGAATAAATTTTGCACTGATCAATCTCACAACAGAAGTGGAAAAAAACAATTTAGGACGACCAAGTTTTTGCTCTGATAAAAGAAATGAACACAAATGTAAAATGCACATGTATAAAAGATGGGTTAAAGAAATTTTTGTCTGTGAAAATAAAGTGGGGAAGCAATTTAGTTTAGGAGGGGCTGGCAACTGAACTAAAACTAACGGGCAAGTGTTATGTAATCAGCCTGTCCTGTTAGGCTTGAAACAGATAGATCACGCATGAGCAGTTTAGCAGTGGAAAACAAACATCTTGATCTTTCCATCAAAAATTTATGCATTCTAACTGGAAAAAAAAAGGTTTAATGATTCTAATCTTACAACAGATTACATTATATCAAATAGGCGTAGTTTCAGGAAAGTTTCAAACCTATAAATATTTTGCCTGTAAACAGTGCAGCAGAACACGACGTAAACAGCTTTTTGTGAAATTAAACGACACTGCAAGATATTTAAAATACATGTAAGAACAACAGTACTAATCTAAAGCTACAGGTGAGGTCCAAGGATTTCCTCTGTTTTAGATCAATCACTGTCATATTTTAATAGGAACGTATAAAGAGTTTCCTTATCCTCAATTATAAGTACATTCTCAAGCTAATGTACCCTGTGAAGTTGACAGTGACATATTGATGACATAGTAAAGTAACTAGGGATTAATGGCCTTTGAGGACATCATGCTCTTTATTGGCACATCGTAGTTCCATTGAAACACGGAATATCATTACAATTCAACTCTTTCTTTACATACTTTACAAGTGGTTACCATACAGCAAATTCACAAAAGCAAAGACCTTGTACAAATAATGTCAAAGTAAATATAACGATACAGGAATAATAAATGAAAAGCCTACAGCAAACTGTCTGACAATTACCAAATGCATCTGAAAAGCTCAGCAACAAAAGGATGCATAATATGTTTGCTCTAAAGTTTCCAAACAAAAAAGATTTTGAATCTATAGTTAAATTGCATAAAATGCTTTTATATGTACATGTAATTACATTTACATTAATTTTATTTACCTTTTCCAACAGAGTCCAATAAACTACTGTCACTACTCACTGCACTGAATTTTGGGTATACAATCAACAGCAAATGTTGTAAGCCTTGTTTACCTCAGACACCAATATTCATGAAAAGTGTACAAACTGTTATTAAATACTAGAAACAAATTTGAATCTAGTATTAAGCATGTGTCAAGTTAAAGAAACTTTCAAATTCATGCCATGACATACAGGATCAACCAAACAAAATGTAAACATTTTTAGGAAATTACACTACAAGTACACTATAAGGTTTTTTTTTAAAAAAAAAAAAAAAGACTTCCTTTCATTTTCATTTTTTATCTGCAATAGCCACTTCCCATGAAAATTTGATCAATCACTGTCAAATGCTACATGATGTGCACCTGCTTCATATGAAAAACAAAAAGACTAATTATTCTTATTTTGTACATTGTGTGTTCTTAAGACATTAACACTAATGTGACTTACTGGCAGTGATGTATTAGGACAATTTAATTAATTTAACTTATCAAGCCATTTTCCATCTCTTTAAGTACACCTAAGAAAACATACAAATGTTTGCACATTATATTGTTTTACCTTTCCTGATTTTAATCTTTTCTACATAAATTATATATTTTATAATAGGCGACTTCTGACAGAAAATTCATATACAACTCAGTACTTAAATAATTAAAAACAAATATCTTGCAAAATGAGGTTACATTTAGCCATGCTGAGACAGAGATGTTTGACCATCAAGTACTCTAAGTTTATGAAAGACTAAGTGAAAAAAAAAAAAACTAAAACAAAAAAGAGAGCAAAATTATCCCTAATAAAAACATTCAGTTAAATCTTTTACAGTGAAATGACAGAGTTTTCAACCAGAGCATGATTTTAAACCATAAGAATATGATTTCATTTGGGATCTCACCAATCATGTTGGAGCAGTGTGAATGGTAGTCGATGGAACACATATTTATGCTTGGCCTCAAATTACATTTAAATTTTGCTGACTTGAGCAGGACAACAAAAGAGCAACAAAAATAATTTGAAAGTGTCGCAAACAGATTTAATGGATGCTTGTCATGCATGCACTCAATTGGCTGAAAATTGCTTTTGTTCCTGAGTGTTCTGTTGTTGGTATCCAAATAGTAGCTACCACAAAGAAATTATTTTTGCCGCTGGCTTTAGAGTTGGGATCTCCATGTACTGTGTACTGTGTTTGTAGTCATAGTAACCACACTGTGCAGAGTGGTTCCCTCATGGGGACAAATTATCACACAAGATAAAATTGTAACTTAATAGTTGCAGGAAGATGAAGAGTTGTCTCCTACGTGCTGGTTTCAGATGAAATGAAATTTTGTTGCTTTTTCACTGCAATTGCTACATTGAAGTAAACAAAATTTGAAAGCATTTAGCAGCCAATCAAAATTTTCTGATCCAACAGCTAACAATTACACTGCTAGAACATGATTGGCAACATCACGGCAAATAAACTCAGCTTAAATATACAAGTCATGCAGTGACAAAAAACGGCACTGTTATCAACTATGTCATCTCCTGACTACATTTACTCAATTTTTTTACACTCAGTTTTTCATTTGCAATCGTGCTGCAATTGGTTTAAAATTCTCT